TTGGCAACAGTTTCAACAACTTCCAGCCGTTCCGAGGCGGCTCCACATCCATTTTCACTACTCAGGTGACCCTGAAGACACAGCCGAAACCTCCAGGTGGCCTCAACGGCTCCTTAAAAGGATGCAAACGACCAGCTTTGTCTGCGAGGAGGATCAATCCTTCCCTTCAGTCCCACCACCTGGTCCGAGCAGAAGCAGCTTCTGGAGAGAGAAGTGAAATGTCTTCAAAGAAAAAAAACAGGAAGTGCCTCTGCCTCTTGAAAAAAAAAAAAGCACCTTTGAGACAACCATGACCCGGATGACTGGAGGATTCCCACAGACGGTCTCTAGGAACACGAAGACTCGTCCTGCTGCCCAGCTGAGGTGGGGCACTGCCGGGGGACTCGGGTGGGGCCCGGAGCCCTTCCGCCCACTCACGTGATATGCGCTGCTGCCCCCGCCGCTGCCCCCATAGCCGTACTGACTGGAAGCCCACTGCGCAGGGGTGGCGTTGGCGTTTTGCCCCTGCCCCGTCACGGCAGCGATGGCGCTGAACATCTGAGAGGTCATGTTTTGCGGCAAGGTGTTGACGGCTCGGGTCAGGTCTGCCGGGACAGAGGGAGAAAGGCGGTTAGGAGACACCCCCCCCTCCCGGTCCCCCCCTCCGGGTGCCTCTGGGTGCGCAAGGGAGGGAGGGGGCGCCACGGGGGCCTCTGCAGAGACGTACCTGCGAGGTTGATGTTGGCAGGAGTGGCGTTGATGGAGGCGGGCGTCCGGGTGCGGCTGCTGCTGCTGGGAGTGACACCTGGGCAGGGAGGGGAGAAGAGAGGGAGGAACGGCCAGGTGAGAAACAGGGCGGAGTTTCAGGAAGCTGGTGGAGATTCTCTCTCTGGCTGGACTGGCCCGAGGGGAGAAAGGGAGGGGGGGGGGCCCTGGGCTGCAGGGGGGTTTGAAGGGGGGGGGGTGGTGTTTCTCGCTCAGCTGTGCAGGAAGTGGACCACCAGGGATGAGGCCTCTGGGCTTTGTAGTCTTCTGGGCAGGCCAGGAATAACATCGTCATCATCATCTTCGTGAACCCCCCCCCAATTCTGGAACGCTGCTTGGTCTTAGCCGTGGCCCCTGGAACTCATAGAGGCCCCGGCGGGCCCTTTCAAGAGGGACAACTCCTGGGTGGGGGACCAGGCCCCCCCCCCCCCCCCCCCCCCCCCCGTCCGAGCCCGGAGCAGCACCCCCCCCCCCCCCCCCCCCCCTGTTACCCTTCCACAAAGCTTTAAAGGCCGGGCTGTGCTTCGGAGCCTGGAGTGGGACAGGCCCCAAGGGCCCCATTCCTGGCCTATATTGTGGACTTGCTCCGCGGGGGCCCAAATTAGACGTTTTAATGACTTTTTTTAAAAAAAATGATCTTTATTGCTTTTACTGCTTTAAAATGCTTTTGTAAGGATATTATATGTTTTTGAATTGTGAGCTGCCCGGAATTGGTTGTTGAGATGGGCAGGAAATCAAATCAAATCAAATCAAATCATAAATGGAAAAAAAAATAACATAATTCCAGGCAAAGGCAGGAAAGGCGTCGTTTGCTGAGATGGACAGCTATTGAAATCAGTCAATCAATCAATCAATCAATCAAATAAATGAAACCATCCCTCCAGGCAGAGGCAGGGAAGGGGCCGCCCGGCCTTCATCCGGTTCGGATTCAGCCGCTCAAGAGGGGCCACAGCCTTTGCGTGGGGGACCCTGGGTGGTGGTGGGGGCAGTCGAGTGCACCGGGGCCTTACCTGGCACAGGGTCCTGGTAGTGATCCTTGAACCACCGGAAAAGGCCGTTGACGGTGGGGAAGACGTGGTTGCGATAGCGGAATCCCTCTGGCGTCACCGTCACATACTCGATCCTGTGGCAAGAGAATTTTGTAGCAACTCTGGCCAGCACGGACCGCCGGGCCAGTCTTGTGGGGGGGGGGGGGGGAGAGTGGGACACCCACCTGGCCCCCCCTTCTGATTCAGGCTTGCCAGAAGCAGCAGGAGCCAGAAAGGCAGAGACTGGAGGAGTGGGGGGGGCAGGCATGGGATACCACGTGTCAGGTGTGGCCCCACAGCTCCCGAGAGAGAGGAAGTCGGCCTGTGACCAGCCTTGGTGGGGAGGGGGGAAAGGGGGCCTGGGGAAGGGGCTTCCCTCACCAGCAGGGCCTCCACTCTGCCTGCAAGAGGCCCTGGGGTCAGCCCCGGAGACCCCACTGAAAAGGCCGCGGGGCCGAGCCGGACTGCCTGGCCCGGAGTGGGGTGGGGGGTGGGCGGGTGGGGGGCCCAGGCCCACCTTGGCTTCCCTCGCGGCTGGTAGCCCAGCAGGAACTTGCCCGGAAGGTCCTTGCAGGAGCAGATGAAGTAGGGGATGAAGGTGGGCTTCTCCTTCTTGGTTTTCACCAGCAGCTCCTCCAGTTTCTGAGGAGAAGACGAGACGGTGGTCGGCATTGCCCTGAACCGAGGAGGCTCTGCCCTCCCTGGGAGCCCTCAGGGCGCCCCGTGCAAAAGACCAACGTCAACTCATCAAATGTCGCCGGGGTCTTTTCGGAGTGGCCATAACAGAAAGGGAGGGGGGGAGCAGTGCGGCAGCTTGGAAATCAAAAGTGCATTCCATCAATGTTTTCTCAAAGATAGTAACTAGGCGAGTGAAGTTTCTGCTGTGCGCAAAATTCTAATTGGAGAGCCTGATGGATGACTCTGGGCTATGGACGTGTCCCATTGGAGGATATGAATTAGGATACACCCAAGAGGTGTGTGGGGGGGAGAACTAGGGTCAAGGGTGACAGTGAATTATGTGTCTCAGAGTCGGCTACACCCAGGCAATGCCGACATGTCAACTCCCAATAAATCCTTTGGAAGTTTTGGAAGTTTGGCTCGAGACTCAGGATTTAAATGGGGGGTCACTGCCGGAATCCTGACAACCGGTGTGTGGGTGTGTGGATGTCACCCTCAGGACCCACAGAATTTCCTTCCTGTGTCCAAGGCGATGACCATCATCAGCAAGGCCCACAAAACTCCCAAGTTTCTTGGTGGAAGAGGGTTACGCCAGCTGCTGCCCACAGAAGTGGACCCAGCAGGGAACACCAGACTGAGGTCTGGGACTGGATGCCAGCCCAGCTGGGCGGTGGGAAGACCCAGCTCTGCCCTCCACCCCAAGAAGCTCCAGAAGGGGAGAGTTGAGGTCATCTGCTACAGCCCGAACCCAGAAGGAAACCGAGAGCTCCACTTCCGACCCACCAAAACCTCCTAAAAGGTTACCAGCTGAGGCCTTTTAATCCCACCTGCCCTGGATGGAGAGAGCTGCAGCTCAGCTCGCCCGCTTTGGCCAAGCTGACCCCTTGTAAGAAGGGCGGGAGACTGGCAGGATCGTAATATATTCACCAGGATCTGACTGATGAATATATTACACTACCCAGTGTCGGGATTCTGGCAGTTATTCCAATTAAATCATGAGCCTCGAACCGCACTCCTAAAACTAGAAAGGATTTATTGGAAGTCAACATTCCGGCATTAGCCTGGGCGTAGCCGACTCTGAGATACGCAATTCACCGTCACTGTCATTTTGTATACACGTTTTATAGTTGATATCCAGACACCCCCAGAGGGAGTATGTGACTGGAGGAAACAATGTGTGTTGATGCGTTTGTGTTTTTTTTCTAATGCACTTTTTGGTTTAATACACCGTCTCTTTCCTTTCTTCATTTCTCTTTTATGTATCTATTTTTTTAGTGTTTCTATTTTAAGTTCACTTTGAATAAAATAACATTATACGTCCAAGATGCTTGTCGGGAAGGGATTCTGCCCAGCCCACACCTTCCCACCCACCCACCCACCCACCTTCCGGTCTCCTCCGCTGCAATCTTGGTAGTATTTGTGGCTGAGCAAATCCCGGGCGAAGGAGGCCATGGGCTGGACGTAGCGGGCCACGATCTCGTCCAGGTCCTCAAACTCCTGGGGAAGGAAAGAAGAATGGGGGGAGGCCTCAGAGGGGAGGAACCCTGCGAGCTCTTGCCTCCCCCTGTCCCCTCCCACCCTCACGGAGCGGAAGCCTTGAAACAGACAGCAACTCAACAGGAAGTTTTCTTGGGAGGTAAGTGATAGCGAGGAGAACAGGCAGGATCTGAAGTTCCCGCTCGGAAACGATAGAATAGAATAGAGCAGACATTAGAATAAAGGATAGAATAAGAATAAGAATAGGATAGAATGGAATTCTTTTATTGGCCAAGGGTGATTGGACCCACAAGGAATTTGTCTTGGTGCAAATGCTCTCAGTGCACATAAAAGAAAAGAGACATTTGTCAAGAGTCAAGAATCAAGAATCATCAGGTCAAACACTTAATAATAGTCCTATATAGGATACAATAAAAATAGAATAGAATAGAAAATAGAATTCTTTATTGGCCAAGTGTGATAAGGACACACAAGGAATTTATCTCGGTGCAAATGCTCTCAGTGCACATAAAAGAAAAGAGACATTCATCAAGAGTCAAGAATCATCAGGTGCAACACTTAATAATAGTCATAGGATAGGATAGGATAGGATAGAACAGAACAGAACAAAATAGAATAGAAATTAGAATAGAATAGAATTAGAATAGAATAGAATAGAATAGAAAATAGAATTCTTTTATTGGCCAAGTGTGATTGGACACACAAGGAATTTGTCTTTGGTGCAAATGCTCTCAGTGCACATAAAAGATCCATTTGTGAAGAGTCCAGAATCATCAGGTACAACACTTAGAGATACCCCTCCCCTGCGTCCAGTCCGAAGCGAGCCAATCCCCAGGTGTGAGGTGGAAACTTCGAGCTAAGAAGGCGTTAAGAAGTGGTTGGCAGGTGATCGGAGACAAGACAGGTGTGGCCCCAGGCTCATCCCTCCCCCCTCCCCTCCGTTCCAAGGGAGGTAACATCAAAGGAAAGTCCAGAACTAGGAAGAGGTCATGAAATGTCATTGGGTCCCACTCCCATCAGAATGGCAGCGTCCTGAGAGGGATGAAACCTATAAAGAACGGAGCTGGCATTGGGTACGTCTGTTCTGATGAAGTCCCGGAACCAGCGAAATCCAGGGGGGGGGGGGGGGGGGGGGGGGGGCGGGGTGGAGACTGTATCTGTCCTCAGGGTGGGAGGGATTTGCCACTCTCAGGTTGGCCTTTTTAGCCACACCGGATGCTGTTTTGGGACCTCTTTTCAGAGGACGATACGACTGTCCCTTGAGACTGAAGGATGCCTCCTGTCTTATGGAAAGGAGGACCGGGGGGGGATAGGGTCGCCGTCTTCCCAGATTGGAGGGGCTGCCACAAAGAAGGGGGGGGGAGGGGGGATCAGCTGGTTCTCCAAAGCGCCCGAGGGCAGCAGGACAAGGAGCAACAGATGAAAAGTAACCAAGGAGAGAAACAGCTTAGAACTAAGGAGGAATTTCCTGACAGCGAGGACAATTCATCAGAGGAACAACTTGCCTTCAGAAGCTGTGAATGCTGCAACGCTGGAAGTTTTTAAGAAGAGATTGGACAACCGTTTGTCGGAAGGGGTGTAGGGTTTCCTACCTAAGCAGGGGGTTGGACTAGAAGACCTCCAGGGTCCCTTCCAACTCTGTGATTCTATTCTATCTTATCTCTGGGGACCTGACAACCCCTCCGCCCTCCCCCAGGCGGGCTCAGCCCCACTCACTTCGGTGTTGATCCAGAGGGTGGAGCCCAGGCTGAAGGCGTTCTCCTTGCCCTCCTCCCGCACGTCCACGTGCTGGTAGATGTTGTCGCAGACCTTCCAGGTGACTGTCAGGTGATTCTCTCCTTTGCTGCTGGGCCGGATGATGACGTCGCCTTGGTCCATGGTCTCCATCATCTTCTCGGCCTGCTTGAAGTTGATGTTGTGGAAGGAGGGGTGGGCGATCACCCGCTTGATGTACGCTGCGGGGAGAAGAGAGGCCAGGCCGCCATTGGCATCTGCTCCCCGGCGGGAGGTCCACCTGCCCTCCCTCCCTCCCCCCCCCAGGTTGTGGAGGGCCAGCCCCCCCCCCCCCCCCCCCCCGGACTCACTGGTCCGTTGCTGCTTCCTCTTCAGCTCTTCATCCTGCTTGTGGTCAGAGGCCTCATTTGCAAAGTCGTAGTGGGCGTCCTTGGGCAGCTTCCACTCATTGCTCCTGTCCATGAGGTCCGACGTTCTGCAGGTCAGGTCGGCGCTGAACTTCTCAATGTCGATCTTCATGATCCTGCAATGGACGGTCATCCCCACCTGCCGAGGGAGGGAGGGAGGGATTCATGATGGACCAAGAGGTCCGTCCCCCCCGGGTGTGTGGAGGGAGGAGGAGGAGGAGGAGGCAAGGGCGACTGATGTCACCACCGTCATGCAGGGAAGGTGGTGCTTGTCCAGGGCTGGGATTCAACCGGGTCAGACCGGTTCGAGCGAACCAGTAGTTCCGGTGATCATTTGGCCCCTGCTCTTTCCTGTGTTTTATTTCGTTTTTTAGAGCAGGGGTCTCCAACCTTGGCCACTTTAAGACTTGTGGACTTCAACTCCCAGAGTTCCTTTGCTGGCCAAGGGATTCTGGGGGTTCAGGTCCACAAGTCTTAAACGTGGCCAAGGTTGGAGCACGGCTGATTCACACGGCCGAGCTGTCTTGCTGTTTTACTCACAGGGGCTGCAGTAGAAGGTAAGTATTAGAGCTGAAAATGGGCTTTTTAAAACACTGCGTATGCGCGCTGAATCAGTTGTCCCGCCGGTTGAATGAACCAGTGATGGTATGCTACTGGTTTGGTCCAGTTCGGGCAAACTAGTGGTGAAAATCACTCCTGGTTTGGCTGAACTGGTAGTAAAAACAGCAACCACCTGGTCGGCCAAACCGGTTCCTCTGAGGATCAGCTGATAAAAGAGGCGACAAGCGCGTGGGCGGCTGGGAGGGGAAGAAGGTTATTGGAGAGCGTGATGGATGCCTCTTGCAGACGGATGTGACCCATTGGAGAAGCCACATCCAGGCGGTGGGGGGAAGACCAGGGTCAAGGGGGAAACGAACGGTGTGATTTAGTATTGGCTGCATCCAGCCAACGCCGACATGGCCACTTCTAAATAAATCAATTGCCTTTTCTCCGAGATGCGGCTAGGGACTCTTGATTCGAATGGGGGTGGATTGGTTGGGGTCCTGACCCACCAACTCTCCCCTTCTAGGGACCAATGGGCTGGTCCATCTAAACACCTCAGGGAAGGGAGGGTCCTCGGGGCCCTTCCGGGTCAGAAAACGCACTGGTCACTCTCCTCTGTGACGCTGTGGGGGGGAGCAGAGCCCTCCGTGTCCTGCTGGATGCTTTCGTAGCCCTGATGGTTTCATCCAAGTCCCCCTGTGGACAGTCTGCAAGGGGTGGGCCTGTCGGGAACCACTGCGTGGGGGTCTCTCTCCTTGTCGGGTGGATGGTTCCATCACAGGGATGGCTAGCCTTTTCGTCATCCACAGGCACATCTGCACCCATAGTGCAATGCACACACGACGCCCCTGCCTCCCCAGCGCATGTGCACACACGCGTCTCGTCCTGCGCACGTGTGGCAGATACCCAACAATCCGCTGGCTGGCAGGGGGTTGTGTGTGCGTCCACGCGCGGTGGATCAGTTCCAGGCGACAGCTGGCGGGCCGGCAGAAACGGCTCTGGGTGCCATAGGTTTGCCCTCCCGGTTCCTAGCGGCTGAGGGGGCAGCGGAGACGGAGCCTCTGGAGCAGCCTCAATGTGGCCGAACGCAACCCTCCCCTCTTCTTTGAACTTCACGTCTACATCAAAGCTGCTGCGCTCAGGACAAAGGTCAGTGTTTGGGGGGGACAGGATAGAGAACAGGCCACTCTCAAACCCAGGGCTGTGCCTCGATGCCAGAGGTTTGGCAGGGGTGGAAGGAGAGAAACAGGCTCGGACTTAATCAGTGGAAGGGATTCCCTCCAGAAGTTGCGGGTGATCCATCACTGGAGGTTTTCAAGAAGAGGCTGACAGCCACCAGTCTGGAATGGTAGAGCAGAGGCCTCCAACCGTGGCAACTTTAAGACTTGTGAACTTCAAGAATTCTGGGAGTTGAAGTCCACAAGTCTTAAAGTGGCCAAGTTTGGGGGCCCCTGCTTGAGCAGGGGGTTGGACTAGAAGACCTCCAAGGTCCCTCCTGTAAAGTCACGCGTGGCTTCTGCTTCAGAAGGAGATAAGATTCAAAACTAGGCTAACTTTACACCTTTTTGAAGCCCGAGAGAGAGAAAGGACCTTGGTCCCCTCCGGGGTCTCGGCTCCTGCTGAAGCAGCGGGGGAAGCCAAGGCTTTGCCCAACACGGCCCGGGCACCAGCTGTGGGGCCTTTCCAGGGGGTCTCTGGCCCTGCAGGGTTTGAGGCTGCCCGTTGCTCCACGTCCCGCTCCCTCCCACCCCACCCTCCAAGGCTCCAATCGCCGGCCAAGAAGCTGCACAAACACCCGGCTGGGAAAATGGGACGTCCCCACCCCTCCCCAGTCGAGAGGGGGGTGTTTGGCTTTCCCGTCCTCCACGCTGGAGATCCGTTCCCAGCCAGAAAGCAAAGCCCTTTGAAACAAATGGCCGGTCACTGCCCGCTGATTGTTTTGGCCAGCCTCCCGCCGTCTGGCCAAAGGGCAGAGTGGAAGCACGCTGGGAAGAGGGGACAGGTGTGGCGGTCAAACAGTGCCAGCTCCCTGCTTGGCGGGAGGGTCTGGGGCCAGGGAGAGGCCCCGGGCATCCTGACCAGCCGTTGACCAGAGCCGCCTGGGCTGAACTGCCCATGAACATACCTTGACTCTTTCCTCCGGCCGTTTGACCACTTTGTCGCTGAGGAATTTGGTGGGGATGAAACCGGTGACGCCGTTGTCCAGACGGGTTTTCACCCCAATGGCCTGACCAGGGCAGGAGCCGCTGTCAAAATGGTTCCACACCTGGACAGAGGAGAAGTGTTGCCTTAGCCTGGTGTGCTTAAGCGATCCCAAGAGTCCTGGTGCGACCTCCGTGAGTTGGTCTCCAAGAATGCAGCCCCTTCCGGAGGGGGGCAAGAGGGACCCAGAGAAACCCCCCCCCTTTTGCCAGTGTGTTCGTGGACTGGCAGAGACATGGTCAACAAGGCCAGCCAATGGGAGCTGACTTCAAAACTTAAAAGGAGTCTGGGCGTGGCTTAGCTCCCTGCTCTCAACTCTGAAGAAACCGAAACTTGCTTGCTTGCCCACTGAACCGAAGTGAAACTACTTTGCTTCTCTGCTTGTGTTTTGCCTGTAACTTTCTACCGGTTGGAAGAAGCTACTATTGGTATTGTAAACTTTACTTAATATGTTATTATGTATATAAAGAAGTTAATAAATCCTGCTGAATCAAGTCACCGGTGTGCTTTCTGGATTTGATTTCTTCAATAAACTCTAACACCATTTCAAAAGATGGTGAGAACCTGGAAATAGTGCAGAGAAGAGCCACAAAGATGATTAGGGGGCTGGAGGCTAAAATATATGAAGAACAGTTGCAGGAATTGGACATGGCTAGTTTAATGAAGAGAGGGACTTGGGGGGGGGGAGGGGGGCATGACAGCAGCATTCTAGTACCTGAGGGGCTGCCCCCAAAAACCGACTCTCCAAAGCCCCTGAAGGCAGAACAAGAAGCAACGGAATGAAACTAAACAAGGAGAGACCCAACCTAGAATTAAGGAGGAACAATTAATTCGTGGAACGGAAGTTGCCTCCAGAGGTTGTGGGTGGGTTCATCACTGGAGGTTTTTAAGAAGAGGCTGGGCGGCCACTTGTCTAGAACAGGGTAGGGTCTCCTGGAGGTTGGACTAGAAGACCTCCAAGGTCCCTTCCAATCCTAGGATTCTACCCATCTTAAAGCCTTCTGGCTGGGGAATTCTAGGAACCGAAGCCAGAGGAAGATCCAACTTGGAACGGAGGAGGATTTTCCTGGCAGTTAGATCAATTAAGCGGTGGAACAGCTTCCCTCTAGAAGTTGCGGATGCTGCATCACTGGAGGTTTTCCAGCCACCTGTCTGAAATAGTAGAGGGTCTCCTGCTTGAGCAGGGGGTTGGACTAGAAGACCTCCAAGGTCCCGTCCAACTCGATTAATCCCAATAGGTGTGACGGGGCTCAGGACGGCTTCAGAAGCTTTCAGGCAGCTGAGGAAGGAAGGACAGCCCCCCCTAGCCCCCCTCCCCCAAAAAGAACTGCGTGTGTTGGGGGGCAGGGCTGGGGGTTACCTCGCTCAGCTCGGGGAAGTTGTCCTGCTGGCAGAAGGGGCACTGCCAGAGCCCCGTCTCGTCGTTCCGGATGGCCTGGTCGTAGCTCTCTCCTTGCGGGCGTCGATGGGCGATTCCCGTCACGTTGCAGATGATCAGTTTACCTGCGGACAGGAGGAGCCTTCAGGGGGGGCCTCGGGTCAAGGCAAGCAGGGGCTTCGCAGAGCCCACCCCTCTCAGGGCAAGGGGGAGCTGGGGAGACCCTCCTCGCTCCTGCCGGGGCCGGGCTGGGGGCCACCAGGGTCCTGCCTTTGGAGGGCCCTGCCCCACATTTCCTCGGCTAAGCGAGGCAGTCAGTCCTGTGAGTTTTGCCCCGTTTTACGACCTCCCTTGCCGCCGTTGTTAAGAGAATCATTGCATTTTTAAATGTTATTAACAGGGTCATTAAGCAAATCCGGCATCCCCGTTGACTTGGGCTTGTCAGAAGGTCGCAAAAGGGGATCACGTGACACACACACACACACACCCCGGGATGCTGCGACCTGTCATAAACGCGAGTCAGTGGCCGACTGGCCGAATTTTGACCATGGGGATAGTGCAGCGGTCATAAGTGTGAGAAACGTTGTAAGTCACTATGCTCAGTCCCATCGTCAATTCTGAACGGTCATTAAATGAATTGTCTGTGGAGATTCCCAGTCCTGCTTGTCCCAAAGGTGCTTTTTTTTTTCCTGACTTTTTTGTTTTTTTCCTTGAAGATGTTTCGCTTCTCCATCCCAGAAGCTTCTTCCGCTCCGACTGTGGATGGTGGGACTGAAGGGAAGGATTGATCCTCCTTGCGGACAGCTGGT